CTAGCAACAAACAGCTAAGATTGCTCCTGATTCAAACTGATTGTCATGGCCAACAACGGAGGAACCACCGAACCTAAAGTTCACTACAACTGCAAGGATTGCCGGAAATTTCAACGAGATGTCAAATATCTTGAACATCTGTTGGACAATGAAAGGACCCGCGGTCGCGAACAACGAAAGTGGAGACTCACTCTTTGCGAGGCGCTAGATGAGGCCAATGCAAAGTTGGCCAAACGGCAACCTTGGGAAGAAAACAACTGCGACAGGCATGAAGATACATGGCAGCCTGAGGAGGGTGACTTCAATGACGAAATGCACCAGTCTGAGGTTTGGGACGAAGACAACGAAGCCCTCAGCACTGCAGAGATCCTAACTGAGACCACCATGCAGAACCAGGAGACCGACCTCCAAAGATGTTACAAGGAGCTGCAGGAGGCTCATAGAACTAACCAGCAGAGGTTTTCTGTGGAGCTGCAGGCTGAGAGGAGCAAGAATGAGGCTCTCATACATGAACTGGAGAAATTGCAAGCTTCAAACAATGAGATGAGTGAAAAGTATGAAGCTGACCACCTCCGAGCCAAGCAGCAGATCATCCACATGACGACTGAGCTTAAAGAAGCAGCAAAGTCTAAGATTGACACCTTGCAGGCTAAGCAGAACCTTGTCCGTGCACAGATGATGGAGGAGATGAAATGTCTCCAAAAAAATGCTGCAGAGGAGAAAATGCTTCTGCAGAAAGAAGTGGAGGAGCTGAACTCTCAGCTCTCACTGATGGAGAGAGAGAATGAAGCTCAYACAATCAACCAGCAGAAGTTAGCTGTTGATCTGCAGGCTGAGAGGAGCAACACTGAGGCTCTCCTGGATGAATTGGAGAAACTGAGAGCTTCGAACAATGAGATGAGAGAAAMGTTTTTAGCTGACGAACTCTTAGCCAAGCAGCAGGTCACCMACATGACGAGTGAGTTTGAGAAAGCAGTCAAGTCTCAGGCTGAGCAGAACCTCGTCCAAAAACGGATCATGGATGAGATGAGATGTCTCCRCCAAAATGCTGCAGAGGAGAAAATGCTTCTGCAGAAAGAAGTGGAGGAGCTGAATTCTCAACTCTCACTGATGGAGAGAGAGAATGAAGCTCATACAATCAACCAGCAGAGGTTAGCTGTTGATCTGCAGTCTGAGAGGAGCAACACTAAGGCTCTCCTGGATGAATTGGAGAAACTGAGAGCTTCGAACAATGAGATGAGTGAGAAGTTTTTAGCTGACGAACTCTTAGCCAAGCAGCAGGTCACCCACATGACGACTGAATTTGAGAAAGCAGTCAAGTCTCAGGTGGAAACCTGCCAGGCTGAGCAGAACCTCGTCCATAAACGGATCATGGAAGAGATTAGATGTCTCCACCAAAATGTTGCAGAGGAGAAAATGCTCCTGCAGAAAGAAGTGGATGAAATGACTTCTCAACTCTCACTGGAGGAGAGAGAGGATGTCAAGCATCAGGAGTGGCAGAAGGAAAAGGAGGAGGAGAAGCAAGAGGAGAAAGAGGGGGAGGAAGAGCAGGAGAAGCAGAAGAAGGAGGAGGAGTCCCTCTCTGATGCTCTCCCTGCTCCAGAACCTGTGTCTGACGAGACGCCCAAAAAGAAGAAGGTTTCAATCTGGAAAAAAATCAGACGGTGTCTGGGACTGAGGAGGAGGAAGCAATAAGACACTGCACCTAACAACTGATTYACACCTGATACTTGTTCACCTGTGCTCCTCCTGCATGAAATCATGTCTGAGAGGAGGAAATGAAAATGTTATATAATGTGTATGTGATGTTATGTATATATGTAATATGATGTTCACAAATATTAAACATTGTATTATCTCATGATGGCTGATGGCTCCGCAAAAATGCTGCAGATGCAGAAAGAAGTGGAGGAGCTGACTTCTCAACTCTCACTGATGGAGAGAGAGAATGAAGCTCATACAATCAACCAGCTACTAGTCGTTCGCTCAGTCGACCGTGCTCACCAGCGTATCTCAAATGTGTCATTATCGTCCTATTAGATTAAAAATTAATTTGTGACTTGGCTTTCCAAGATTCCAAAATTGCAAATGTTTACAATGGGTATCGTTTCCAGAACCTATCGCTCCTCCTCACGATCCAGAGCTAAATTTCACTCCTGTGATGACGGCCATCTGGTCAGACCCGAAACCTGGGAATGTGTTCAACACAGCAAATCAGTGTTATAAAGGAACTGTACACTTTCAGAATCACTGTTGTACACTGTGTACTCATTGCTGGCGACGTCTGTTCTCAGTGTTTTGCTCTCAGTCTTCTTCCAGAGTAATGCAGGAGTCATATGGTAGTTGCCTTTTGGCGGTGAGGTTAATCAAAGAGGGGCTTTGTAGTGACTGCAGTCCTTTTGGTTCTGAACAAGTAGCCAAAAGCTGCTTCTGTGCCACTCAGTCTGACCCACTTTGGAGGATCCAGCAACGGCTGCCACACAGAAATTTATATTTAATGTTCCCCGTGGATCTGACGCTTTACACCATGAATAATTCTTGGCAGCCTTGCGTTATATGATCTTATACACATGCTGCACTATGTGACAAGTCATGCTTGAAGAATGCATATTGAGAAATTAGAAGTACGACTGATAACCGTTCTGGGTTCTTCTGTATTATCTTCTGTTTGTGCTCGGGTTCTGTTGTGACAGCATGTGTGCACACGTCTTTGTAAGCCAGTGTGAGGCCGCCTGAAATGTGAGCATGCCTGAATCTTTTCTGGACATTTAACGCCAAGCTCAATTGTGTGCTAAGTGTTACGGCACAGTTGGTGTGGATTCATTGGCTTGTGTTGGTGTGTGAAAGTGGCACCACTTTGTGAGCTTGGTGCATGAAAGTGGCATTGCCTCACCAGTCAATAGCATGAATTATGTATGGAAGGAGAAGGTGAAAGCCATGTTCTGCATCATCTGCAGGCTGTTCAGCAAATTAACATTTGGACAGCCATTTTCTGGCTTAAGGATGGGTTGGGGCTTTTTTTTTAATGGCTTGCTTACAGTTCAGAAATAAATCTCCCAGTCATTTTTCTTAACAGGTTTCCTCCTCTGTAAATCATTTGTGACTGAGGCGGTCCCACCTTAAGGGAGCAGACTATGAGGCGTGCGCAGCGAAAAGGGCAGATGGAAGTGATCTTTAATTGGCTAGCTTCACGTCAGGTCTAATCAGAACTGGTGTTCTGTCATCCAAATCCTTCCAAGATTGTTTCTTTGAAAGACAGGCATTCAGCCTGACGTGTTCATTTCCCCCCGAAGGCAACATCATTCACGGTTTTCCCTAAAGTCTGATTTGCATAGGACTCGCGCTGCCTGGGCTCCACCTGCGATTTGATAACACTGCGGAGGTTGTTATTAATCCTGTGGAAATCAGGCACGCCAATAATGTGATAAGTAAAAGTTCCACTGCAGATTATCATATGTTACCCAACACAGGGCTCATTTGATACGGTTTAGTCTTAACATCTGGAAGTAGAAGTGAATCAGTTCACTTTACTGTTCACCTCGCTTGAACCTGCCTCGTTTGTCCCTTCAAAGCTGATCTGTGATGTTGTGTCTTTGCAAATTAGTTTCCTCGCAGCGTTGTGAGGATTGTTAATGTGACCTCTGTGCAGCTCATTTACAAAGCTAAAGCTTTCCTCTATTTATTCGTGTTTTCCACTGATTTCTTGGTTTGAGCTTCAGAACGGGATAAAGAACATCTCAAAGTCACGAGCCAGGACTGATTTTAAAAGTTACTTACAGACAACACGCCAAGCAGAAAGAACCCCACCTGGTTATAGTTGAGGAGCAGCAGCTGCTCGCTCCCGGACCTTCCTGCTTCTCCCTCAGTGTCGTCCATCAGTCTTGATTCAGGAGAAAGGGCCGCAGCCTTTAGAATGAATGCAGCCCAGTGATAAAGACCATTGCAGTCACAGCTTGACTAAAACATCTCAACCTCATTTCCATGACTTTCTACATTAGTGGTCCTCATGTGCAATATTAGCTGCCTCTCTTCATTATCCTCTTGCCAGTATTACATTCCCATGGCACATATTTAGTTGGGCTTTTATATATACTTCTACACTAATCACTTTCTTTTTGGCTTTGACGTAATTAACCATTTTTTCAATGTCGATTAAAACTGACTAACATATTAGGGATGAATAATCAACAGATATTGGATTCTGCTCATGATTTAACACTTTTAAGAGCTTTATGTCCTCCAGGCTTGAATTAAACACATTTTTTCCAGCACCTTAGTGAATCAGTCCAATAAAAGCCAACATTAGTATTGTGCTGTCCCAACATTAGTGGGTGATGACAGTGCTTTTTTATATTTAAAAGATAACTCTGTTTGGTTTCTGTGAATCCAACACACACAAGAAGCAAATGAAGCATCACACATCAGCGGCATTTTAAACTAACCTCATATTTACAATGTCTCCTAGAATTTGTTTCATATGCAGCTAATTGGCAAAAGCAATTATGTTTTGAAGGAAACTGCAAAGTTGCAGCCGGATTATGTTTTCTATTAAGGTAATGAGGATACATAGTTTTTTTTAAAAATATCTTTACATTGTTGAAAATACTGGTTTGAGACAGGAAAACGTTGATGGTGACATTAACCCCAGAACCCTTCTGTCATTGAGAACATCGTTGTGTCATGTGCTCTGTTTACATCTCCCATCATCCTCCTGGTGATTCTGTCTCCAATAATAAATGTAGTGCTTCAACAAATACCTGTAAGAGCAATTTGCTACCTCTGCCAAGAAGGTTTTGTTTTCTTCTGTATCGTCTGTTATTTAGAAGCATTACACAAAAACTACCTGACAGATTATCACAAAACTTGGTGGAAGGATGTGAAACTGGCCGGGGGAGGTTTTGGTTTGGATCCGGACCAGGATTTCTTTTTTTTCACTTTATTTAACATGGCAAGATACATTTTTTAACATTTTATTGATTTCTTGGAGAGAAATCTCTCAAATCAGACCTATTAAGGTACTTATATCTTTGTCTTTTCCAAACTTTGGTTTTGGCTTGTTTGAATTAATCTAATCTTATAGTAATTTAGTTCTTGCACTCTGGTGCTTGTGTATGGTTGTGGTGGTGTAACAGTGAAAGGTGTTTCTTCTGCTTCTTTTAACGTACATGAAAGAGCACGTACATAAAAAACAAAAAGAGCTGCAGGCTGATGCAACAGCACCACAACCTACACTCTCTACCTCCTCCCCACGACCACAGGGCTGAATCAACATCTCTCTGAAGGATGTTTCACAAATATACGATTTATTGCACAAGTTCTGTGTTGGGCAGAATTACCGTCTACAGGAGTTTCAGTTAAATGTTTAAACCAAACCTTAATGAAGTTGTTTTCAATGTCTTAACCTGCATAAATCTCAACTTTCATTTCATCAAATATTGTTTAATGTTTCAAGAAACCTGATGTAATATTAAATACAGTGCAAGGTATTGAAATATGATGTCTGAGACACTGATCTTTGAAGATAAAGTTTCATACTCTGTTCTGCAACTCGTATAAATTCATAACGTCTGACAATATCGCCAAAGTCGAAACCGCAGTAATTACGGTGCCTTTTCTAAAGTTTTGCCCGAGTTCGCACTGCAGCACTTGCATAGCTCATAGGTGGAGGCCACTGCTCTTTACTCAAGCTTTGAAGTAATGTTTTGGCTTTGAACACCTAAGCCTCGGGGAAATCACGGCTTTTCACAAATATCAGGTTCACAGGTTCAGATCCACGGGAGCCACGATGTGTGGGTTGTGGACCAGAGTTGTTTAAATGCTGCGTTAATGTCAGTGTGAGTCTGTTGGTCTGACCAGAGTGTGCGTTTAGATGTGAAGAAGTTTTCTGTCCTCTTCCGTTGTGGAATAAGTGAATCTTTGTAAATTATACGTTTTGACGTGAAAGAACCCATCAAACAGCAAAGTAGGTGATTCTAATTAGATTTCATGTTTGAGTATGAAAATAGCACCAAAAGGTTTTGAATGACAATCAACTTCTTTCTCCTTTTACGCTGACAGAATAATCCACGTTTCTTTTTTACTCTGTGAATCAGTTACGTTGCGGCATCTTCAACTTTATTATTTCTGCAGCTGCATATAATTTTCTTTTTCTTTGAGTTACGCAGATGTCTCCTCTGTGTTAGTTATACCCTCCCCAAAACCTATTTTAGCCCTTAATAAAAGAGATAATAAGAATATTCCTCAAATCTTCACAGCATCTGTTACAAGTACATACGAAATGTAGATTTAAGGGTAAATAGGATCAGACAAGAAGATGTGATGTGTTTCTGCCTCATGGTTCAGGAGGTTTTGAATAAAGGCTGACTCTGTTCTGCAGAGAGAATATTTTTCTCTGCAGAAGAATAATAACTTTTCAAATCTTGGTGCTGTGTTGATAAAGCAACGACGTGGCTTTTGCACATGTGTTGCTCCTATGACCCTTTTGAAATTTCATTTCTGTCGACATACTTCAGAATACACTGCAGCATATCTTTGAAATGCCCACTATTTTCTTTATATGGTATTAGAGAGGACCCCTGGGATTCACACACTGAAACACTTTGATTTAGCTCTCGAGAAGTCTTTCTCATGCTGAAGCTTATTATTATTATATCACCTGTATTTTGAAGCATTTTATAGAGTAATTACCTGAATGTTTTGTTCTTGGGTGAGTTCTGTGTCAGTATTTCTTCACTGACGTTTTTAGATGCCAGACATTGACAT